CACACACAGATACACAAAGACACACACAGACACACACACACACTCACACGCACACAGACACACACGGATACACAGACACACACACACTCACACAGACACACGCACACACTCACACAAAGACACACACACACATACAGACACACACACACAGATACACAGACACACACACTCACACACAGACACACACACACACAGAAAACTGTTTCCGCCTGTTTTAGACGCTGCCTTGTGCTGCTCCGTCTAAAATAAAAAATGTGATAAATATAAATATTTATTACAATATAATATAAATATAAAATAATCGAATGTAATCTAATTTTACCGGGCTCAGAAACAATTAAACCGGGTTACACCTCTTTAGAAAGGCCAAAGCTGGTTAAACACCATCACAGAGAATCTTTCAGAGATGAGGTTTAACATCAAATCTGGTTAAACCTGATCAAACTTGTTTAAGTTAAGACCAGGGATTTTTACACATGTATATATTCTCCTTTGTAAACCGTTTTGGATAAAAGCGTCTGCTAAATGCATCAACATAAAAGTAGGTTACACCTGGTTAAAGCTCATTCCCGACCGCCTGCAGAAGACCAGGATGCTGCTGGGCTCCTGATGCTGCTTCTCACTGCTCTCCTTCTCTCTTCTGGTTTGATCAGAGTGAAAGATGGCAGAACCCCCAGCAGAAAGGAGAAAGACCACGAGGAAAGTCCTCCTGCAGACTTTGGAGGATTTAAAAAACCAAGAGTTCGAAAATTTTAAGTGGCATTTGACCCTACGGGGGGGCCTTGGAGACTTCCCATACATCCCAAAATCCAAACTGGAGGATTTAGACAGGAAGGGTACGGTGGATCTGATGGTCAACACGTACTGTATCTACACAGTCAAAGTCACTAAAATGATTTTGGTTGAAATCGGCATGAATAATCTGGTTTTGCATCTCCCCCCACACTTGTTAGACCCTGAAGGTGAGTTCCTCTGATGGGTTTTTCCACTAGAACCTACTTGGTGCTGCTCTTGGGGGGACGGGGGTGGGGGGTGCCCTAACCTGGCCTACACTATGCTGCCCTACCCTACTCTACCCTGCCCTGTGCTGCTGCACGATTGGATGAAAATGTGCGAATGCGATTATTGTGGACTATATTGCCATTGGGTTTACGATATTATAAACAAACTGACTCTACCTGCAGCTGCACACAGTGTGGCCTCACCGTGATCCAAACCACACGGACACAGGCCCGTTCTCTGTAATATTTGTGCTGACATGCCTCTACTTTCATGTAGGCTCTCTTCAATGTCTGCATTTTTCAAAATGTTAGATAAAGAGTTTCTTTCTTTTTTTTAAAGAGAGAATGTCAAAATTGCAACTTGCAGTCTTTCATGAGTTTACATAATTGCACATCATAACATCACGATTGCGATTCAATTAATCGTGCAGCATTAAAGCCCTGCCCAACTCTGCCCTGTCCTACCCTACACTATCCTACCCAACCCTTTCCTAAACCATCCTACCTTACTCTACTCCACTCTGTCCTACCCTGCCCTACTCTACCCTCCCCTGCCCTACCCTACTCTACCCTACTCTAACCTACTCTACCCTACTCTACCCTACTCTACCCTCCCCTACCCTACCCTCCCCTACTCTACCCTCCCCTGCCCTACCTTACCCTACCCTGTATTCGCCCATCGGCTCAAGCCGATAACCCAAAACCTCTCTGAAGATCACAGAAATAATGCAGTCCCACGTTCATCTATAGACCGAATAATGTATGACCCTCCCCCCAAAACTGTGATCTACCTGGTCTGTAACAATAAAGGGTTCGTTCTGTCTCCATCCAGAGATCAAACAGGGGTGTATGAAGAACCTGAAAGCTGAGCTAAAGGAGAAGTTTGAGCAGGTCACTGTTGGGTTGGATTTAGAACCAAAGAAAAACCCCCTGAACCAGATTTACACCGAGCTCTACATCACAAAGGGAGGCACCACAGAGTTAAACAAGGAACACGAAGTCAAACAGATTGAAGCAGCTTCCAGGAAGGGAGCCGAACCAGAATCAGCCATCAGACGGGAAGACATCTTTAAAGGCCCGCCAGGAGCAAAAGAAAAAATCAGAGCAGTGCTGACGATGGGGGTGGCTGGCATTGGGAAAACAGTCCTGACCCAGAAGTTCACTCTGGACTGGGCTGAAGGCAGAGCCAACCAGGACATCGAGTTCCTGTTTCCCTTCACCTTCAGAGAGCTGAACGTGCATAGAAAGAAAGAGTTCAGCTTGGTGGAACTTGTTCATTACTTCTTTCCTGCAATCAAAGAAGCAGGAATCTGCAGCTTTTCCAGGTTCAAGGTTGTGTTCATCCTTGACGGTCTGGATGAGAGTCGACTTTGTCTGGACTTCCGTGACCAGGAGCCCGTGACTGAGGTCACAGAGTCCAGCTCAGTGTCTGTGCTGGTGACCAGCCTCATCATGAGGGAGCTGCTTCCCTCTGCTCGCCTCTGGATCACCACACGGCCCGCAGCGGCCAATCAGATCCCTGCTGACTATGTCAGCATGATGACGGAGGTCAGAGGCTTCACAGACGAGCAGAAGGAGGAGTACTTCAGTAAGAGGTTCCCAGACAAGAAGCAGGCCAGCAGCATCATCTCCCACATCAAGAGCTACCGGAGCCTCCACATCATGTGCCACATCCCGGTCTTCTGCTGGATCTCTGCTGACGTTCTGGAGGAAGAGCTGAAGACCAGAGGGGGGGGGCAGCTGCCCAGGAGCATGACTGAGATGTACATCAACTTCCTGGTGGTTCACACCAAAGTGAAGAGGGCCAAGTATGGCGATGGAGCCACAGAAAGTGCAGAAATCAGGAACATGGTGGAGTCTCTGGGGAAACTGGCCTTTGAGCAGCTGCAGAAAGACTGCCTGATCTTCTATGAATCCGACCTGGAAAAGTGCGGCATCGACATCACAGACGCCTCGCTGTACTCTGGAGTCTTCACACAGGTCTTCAAGCCAGAGAAAAAGCTCTACAATATAATCTTGTACAGTTTCGTCCACCTGAGCATCCAGGAGTTCCTGGCTTCCGTCTATGTGCTCCACTGCCACAGAAGCAGGAGCACCGACGCTCTGCGGGACC